ACCAAAAGTCCGATCAGATGATAAGGCGCCACAGCCACATCATAATTTCTTCGAAAATTGTTGAATCTACATACCGAACCGATACAACTTTATTGTTGTGAAAATTTCTTATGTAACAAAACAATACGTATACTGGTTATTAGGATATATATGGCTGTGGTGTCTTACCACCTGATCAGACTTTTGGTGGTTGCCCTGGCGCACTCTGGAAATCATGACCCTAAACACGTTCGAAAAAAACTATTGCGAATGTCAAATTCGATAAGAAAAACAATTACAATAAGAGCTGCAAATATAACTCCTTCAATGATGATAACAGGTAAGTGTTTTTTTTTTAAACCTTTAACCAAAATGGTTAAGGAACGTCATTGACATTCTTAAAAGTCCAGCTTTTAATTTGACAATTTTGTCTTCAGAGCTCATGAATAGTTCGAAAATTCTTGATACAACCCTTAATACACTAGCAAACCAAGTTCAACCAACATCCACCCGATTCGCACCCAATCTTGAGTCAATCCAAAATGCTCTTAAATACGATAAAAAGTTGCATTACCCAAGCATATCAGAGCTCGAAAAAGTAAGGAATTAGATTTTTATTTATTTATTTATTTATTTTGCTTTGGTTAATAGGTTTGTTTTATAATGGATGATTATGAGGCTGCAGGAACTGTCATATCGAAACAATATGGCACCAAGAATACCCAAGATCCAAAAGAACAAGCTGTGCTCCTTGGCATCGCGTCCACAATTATGCCAGTTCTTTTAACTAAATATCCGGACTTCTTAGCTGTAGATTCTACTGGTCATCGCAATTGCTTAAATTTTCTGAATACAGCCTTTATGGTCAGATCAGATGAACCTTGTGGTCGAGTTGTTGCTACATTTGTAAGTGACAAGGAAACAATACCCATCATTGATCTTATGTTTGAGTCAGTAAATATTTCAGTATTTTCTTATAGATTTTTATTAGATAAGATTATAATTCTGGCTGTTTTGAAGTTTATTCAATACAGTGTTAAAAATGGTGTTCAATTGAATCCTAAGTGGTTAGCCATGGACAAATGGGATCCTTACCTCGCAGCAGCTAGAAAACACTTTCCTTATACACAAGTAATTTTATGCGATTGGCATGAGGGTGATTTTTTATTTATTTATTTATTTATTTATTGATTTATTTTTTTATATCATTCTTCAAGTTTTTTTTTTATATTTTTAGCTGATGCACTTAAGGAATGGTTTACAAGAAATTTGAATGACCAATGGCTTAGAGATCGAGTATTTTACCAATTCCGATTTGTTAAATGGTCTCGAGATCAAGAAGAATTTAACCAACGAAAGACTACTCTCATAGACACGAAGAATCTTCAAGCTGCACTGGGATTGCTAATTTAGCCATTGCAGAGACTATTGCATCTTATTTTCGAAAGAATTGGTTTAGTGATTGGCTTGGTTAGTAAAAATTCTTTGCTTTTGGCGCTTTTTACATTTACACTACACTAATATTATAACAGATACATGGCCAGATTACAGATATAATAATTGTCCTATGAAGACAAATATGTTGTTAGAAAGTTACTTTAAAAAGGACATGATATTATATTACCAGGGGAGATACACTAAATCTTTATATTCAAACCTTGAGAAGATAGGTACGTCGATACGTGCAAATTGTGGGGAAATTGAAAGATAAATAAATCTAAGGTTTTTTTTTAAAAAAAAAAACATCTGTATAACAATCTTTTTTTATAAAGATTTTGGCGGGGAGAGGGCAAACCTCCTACAACATCAAAGCTACAACGAGAAAAAAAAAAAGTAGACACAATGGAAGAAGCTTTGTACAAAAAAAATCTTGTTCAAGGTAGTATGTTTTGTTGAGTTTTATATGTTGAATTGACACAATACCTGAACTTCAATTTTTTAAAATCTATTATAGGTTTGCTTCATAAAAAAATAAATTCTATATTTCAAATTTTTGTAAGAACTGACAGTCTGGAATAAAGTTGATTGTACTATAACGTTTCAATCTTTTAGAAATTGATCAGAATACTTGGAGTGTGTCACGGTTTAGCATTAATATCGATACTCAGTATACTGAAATGGACAATGTTAGTGAAATGGATGATGTCAGTGAAATAGACGATGTCAGTGAAATAGACGATGCCATTGAAAAAAAACTTTGAATCAGAGACTCCTAATTCAATTAACAAGTGCAACAACAAGCAGCAGATAAAAACATTGCTTGTTACACATAGAAATGGAAAATTTGCTTGTCCATGTAGCTTTAATGTAATTCGCGGTCATGATTGTCAGGATATTGTAGCCGTTCGGCTATTTATTGATAATCCTGGATTACAAAAGTATTACTTATTTACTAATCATTCTGTATATTAATACAGTATTTCTAACTCTTCCTTTATACATAGTACCTTGAGTTCTGATAGTAAATCCGATCTAAAATGGTAATAAAAAATTAATTTGATTCTTTTTCTTTTTATAACGAATCAATTGTCAGTATATGAAATATATGACATCAATTTATTTTATTATTTAAATAATCAATGATAAATCATTTCTCTTGGTAGCACCTATATATATTATACCATATGATATTGTCTTATATAAGAATAAGTATCGTGTGTTATATCGAATTTAAATACTCATTAAACTGAATTTTCTTATTTTATTAAGTCAACTTGCAATGTCAATGTTCGAGTTATTTAAAAAGATTATAATTTAGTAGTCATAAGTTTGAGAAACTTAATTAAATAATATATGAATCTTTCATAAGAAATTTAGATTAGCAGATGGTCATTAAGACCCAAATTTGAACACATCAGAAACGTAATTTGGAATTTTTTGTCCGTCTCGCACTTGTGACTAATTACATTTTTGATGTGATCTTCATAATATTTATGCAGATGCATCAAAAATATAACAATTAATGAATAAAAAACGTAACTTTTGTATCACTTTGTGTAGACACTAAGGGTCCGTCGCTACGCTCCGGACAATTACATTCAAAATCGCAAGTTTTTAAATCTTTAGATGCATGCATGGTTTACCCCATGGAGATTTTTCGCAGTGTGGATCACCTCTAACTCAGTCTTGTCACAGAAGCTGGACTCGTCTTAACTCGTGATTCACGAATTAAGCTCAAAAGAGTACTCGAATCTTTTCGATTGAGTATCCGAAATATTCGAATCTTTCGAATCACAAAAATTACAGTACAATTTATAAAAGCAGATATGTGTACCAGGCTCGATCCTGAAAAAACTCTGATCAACGGCATTTTCCTATTATGTAATCAATATTACGGTTTAGAAAGAGCAAACATATTTAATATAATTAACAATTGCGTGAATTATTTTGATTCGCGAATCTCACGAAAAGAAAGCCTATCTTTCTCGGTTTTTTTTTTTTTTATAAATGTATCAGGTGGTTGATGAAAGCTCTGAAAAATAGGTATGTACTGTACTTTGTCTTAGTAATTTCATAATAATGTCGTAACACATTCATCAAAATAAATAATATTAAAGGTGTGATTCTTCGTAAACAAAAAAAATTTTACGCGACTTCCTTTAACTAAGTTTAGGGAAGTGCCGTTTCTGTATATATACAGAAAGATTCCGTAAATAATTAGAGCAAACCTATTAATGGAAATAAAATAAAAAAATTAAAAGAAAACGAGATACGCGAACATTGTGGAATTTATTATGGATCTTCTTGATGAAGAGTATATATCATTCTAAATAGTTATTTATTTTTGGAATTAAAGTACTTGAAATGATATTAATTCTTCTCTTTTTATAGATTCTATGGTGGCAATTTATCAATACCCTCGCAACTAGATACATTACCCGAAAATGAACCTAATATTAGACATTTGAGTGGAGTAATAAGTGGCTTTGTGGTTTTTACGGTGACATAATTTTAGCAACCGTCGTAGAACAAGAGTTGCTCGAAAGTTTAAAAGTACAAAGGCAAGAATTTTTAAATTTTTGTCCAATACCGCCGTCTTAAGCATGATTATTGATGAGTACCCCCTTACCTTCGATATATCAAGTAATGACGAGAATAGATGAAAAACCGTTGTATTTGCATGTACGGTAGATGGTCAAAAATTACCCCCTACGATTATTTTTAAATTAAAAAATATTCTGCGTTTTGAGTTTCCATTATTGGAGCAAATAAAAAAGGATGGATGAATGAAACAGAAATGAATTATTGGATCGAAACAATCTGGAAAAATCGTAATCCCTGTGCTAAAAACCCACAATCATTATTAGTAATGGGCTCTTTTGAGGCCATTTTGGTTCCTTCTGTTAAAAACTCTTTTTTTTTTAAAAAAAAATACCAATATTACAATTGTTCCTGGAGAATTAATATCAATATTTTAACCGCTTGATGTGTCGATTAAAAAACTTTCAAAACAAAGGTTTTTTTTTTTAAACATTTAATATTTTATTTATTTACATTTTTAGGTCTATATACAATGAGGTCCAAGACGTAATTGTAACAAATAGATTTTTATCTAGTTTAAGTAAAATTGTAAAATTTAATTTAATTTATTTAATTTATTGCAATTAGCAAAAACTGATCGAATAAACGTTCACTGTATAATTTTGTTGCAGAATGGGTTCAATGTGCATGGGATGCCATTGATATCCAACACTTTTTTCCCATTTTATGTTATTTACATAATCTTTCTTGTTTTCATAAATCTCTTACATTTTCACAAAAAAACTGTTTACTTAACTTATCCAACGCTCTTTAAATGTTTGGAATATCGGTTAAAATTGATGGATCAGAAGAAAATTTAATTTTTAATTACAATCAAATTGAAAAGTTGATAGTTTAGTGATAAGGAATCTGATTTAACAATCCCAACCCAGCAAGGTCTTTTATCTCAACCTCAACTAAACTTCTTGCTTCAACAAGGCCCCTGCCCCTTACCCGACGACACCAGCACCAACAAGCCCACCTCATACCTAAAAGACCAGCAACAAGGCCCCCGTTTCTTACCTGACAACATTTGCCCACAAGACTCCTCGGCTCTACAAGACTTTCCAGAAAAACAATATCTGCGTACCACCCATGCTTTCTACCTCAAACATACTTTCCAACCCAACAAAATTCTTTGGGTTTTTTGTTTCAGGGGTGGAATTCGAACATTATTATATTCAAAATAGAGTAGAAAATTTGTAAATCAATAGGTTGAATAATTTTATAACAATAGAATTGTATAGAAGTTTTAAATAACCTTTGATTTTTTCATACCGTGAAACATTCCATTTTTTTTTTAAAAAAAAAAAAAAATTTAAAAAAATTTAGTTGGATCCGAATTGTACTTTATTCTATGCACGAAAAACTTTTAAGCAACTAATAAAATAAATAATAATAGCTTGAGAAATCTAATATACCCCCTGTAAATTAAAACTTTGAACGAAGATATCTTGACAACTTCCAAATCAAATTCGATGAACTTTTTTTTTTATTTGAATTCTATGAACTGTATAATTCAAATAAAAAAAGTTATTAAAATTGACTTGGTATTTATCGAGATAGTTTCATTCAAAATTTTATAAAATCAAAAAAGCTACGCCAAAATTTTCTAAACTTTGAGCGAAGCTATCTCGATAACCACCGAGTCAAATTTGATGAATTTTTTTTTTTTTCTTTATTTGAATACCATAAATCTGTAAAATTTAAACAAAAAAAACGTTCATCGAATTTCTTCGCTCAAAGTTTGAGAAAGATTTAGCGCAGCTTTTATTTTGATAGACGTTTAAACTTTAGACATTTTGAGTTTTTTAAAACTTTGAACAATGATATCTCGATAACCACAAAGTCAAATTTAATAAATTTATATTTTAATGGATTCCACAGAATCATAGAGTTCAAATAAAAAAGTTCTTCGAATTTAACTTAGTGGTTGTCGAGATGTTTTTGTTAAAAGTTTTTAATTTCAGGGGATATGAATAACGAAAAAAAGCATGGGATTCCCCCTTATTATTCAGCTGTACAAACAAACAGCTCTTGCATATTACGTGTACTTAGGAAAGCGCGCTTTTCGTGATCGACCATCACACGGAAATCTTCAAAATTCCCTAAATTTGACCTTTTTTTAAATCTAATTTCTTGCTAATAAATAAAAATTCACAAAATTCTTTTATTTTTGCTTTTTCAATACTTCATCACGTTACATAGATACATATTTTATATTAATTTAAATTAAATCTAAATTTGAGATTTCTACTATGCTAATCGGTTTACCAAATTTTTGAGTATCATATACAGTATCTTGTTACTCTTGAGAATGGATTTGCTCAATCGATTCTGTTTAATCTTATTAGTTCCAAAGATTGTTTTTTAATTTCATTATCATCTTCCTGATATATTTCATCTAACCAACGAGTGATTATTTCCTTAATTTCTGTTGCAGTAGGTCGTTTATCAAAATCTTTATCCATACATTTCATAGCTAAATTTAATATAACAATCTGGTCCTAAACATTTAGGTCTTGATCCATCGATAATTCTTAATACAAGGTATTCATCAAACGGAATTCAATCAAATGTTCTTTGTCCGGTCGAAATCTCAATCGCGATAACTCCAAGACTGTAAATATCTGATGCTTCGGTATATGGTTGATCCACCAAAACCTCAGGCGCTATATACGGCAGAATTTCACGAGTTTCTGCGAATGAATCGACTCGAGATCCAAAGCTATACAATACAAAATATTCAATTTATCCTTCCATTCTAACTGTGATATTTGTACAAGATTTTTTAGTAACGAACCTTCTATTACAAAATTCATGACAATAATATGGGCTAGGTGCTGGAAAAAGGACCGAAATGACAATTTTTTTAAAATAGATTTTTTTACATAAATCAATTTAGAATAAGGTTAGGATCTTTTTTTATTAAGAAACAAATTAGTTGTATTAATAAAATTTTACAAGATAGCTCTTTAAAGGTTGTATTTTCTTATAATCTATTATAAGATTTACACCACAAAAATTGATTTTCTGAAGATCTTTTATTTTGTCATTTTCGGTCCTTTTTCCAGCACCTAGCCCATATATTCGTCATGATCATTTCTTGACACTCCTAAACAGTTCAAGAACGAAGGATTCTCGTAACCAATTTCACAGTAATTTCCCAATTCCTGGATAA